GGCCTTCTCGGTGGTGGCCCCCGGGCTCTGGAATTCCCTCCCCAGGGAGAATAGGCTAGGCCCTACTCTATCTGCCTTCCGCAGGGACCTCAATACCTGGATGTTCCAGTATGCATTTGATGATGGTTAGTCCCCTGTTCATGAACGCCCAACCCTAATTGACAGATTGATTGTACTCAGCACTTTACCCCCAGCCCTGGCCCCTATAGTCTGCTTTTTGCACAAGCCCATGCCCAGCCCTTACTAATTCGATTATGTCCACTATATTTCTGGTCACTGGTTGTCAAGGTTTACATTTTATACATTTTAATGATGTTTTTATATCCTGCTGTTCTTAATTGTTTAATTGGACTGTGATATGTTCTTATGTTTTAGTTAGTAAACTTTGTTGTTGTGTCAGGGCTTGGTTCCGAATGTAAGCCGCCCCGGGCAGATGGTGGAGAGGTTTAAGAATAAAGTTATTATTATGATGTTTATGTTTACTGTGGCATTGAAATATTGCCAAATTGGAAGCCACTCTGATTTCCCTTTGGGGTGGAGATAGAGCGGGATAAAAATGCAGTAAATAAATAAAATAAATGCTCACATGCAATCTATATATATAATGCTCTGTTCTTTTTGAGTAACATCGTAACTCAAAATCCGCTGGACGAATTGCTGCCAAATTTGGCCACAAGACACCTACTAACCCAAGGAATGACCATAACTCAAAAACAGATTTTGTCATTTGGGAGTTGTAGTTCCAAATTTGGACAGCATACACCTAACAACCCAATGTATGTCCTTCACTCAAAAATGTTTGATTTTGTCATTTAGGAGTTGTAGTTCTTGGGATTTATAGTTCACCTACAATCAAAGAGCATTCTGAACTCCACCAATGATGGAATTGAACCAAACTTGGCACACAGAATTCCCATGACCAACAGAAAATACTGGAAGGGTTTGGTGGGCGTTGACCTTGAGTTTTGGAGTTATAGTTCACCTACATTCAGAGAGCACTGTGGACTCAAAGAACGAAGGGTCTAGATCAAACTTGGCACAAATTCACAAATTTTCCCAAATATGAACACAGATGGAGTTTGGGGAAAATAGACCTTGACATTTGGGAGTTGCAGTTACTGGCATTTATAGTATATACCTACAACCAAAGAGCATTCTGAACCCAGCCAATGATAGAATTGGGCCAAACTTCCCACACAGAAAATACTGTGTTTACTGGTGGTCTTTGGCGACCCTTCTGACACCCCCCTCACGACACCCCCCAGGGGTTCTGACTCCCAGGTTGAGAAATGCTGCCTTACGGCCATCCCTTCACCAGACCAACAAAACGTAATAAAAGCCCTGCTGACAAAAAGCCATCCAGCCATAGATATAGATAGATAGATAGAATTCACATGCACATGACAGATATAGTATCATAGATTTGAAAGGGACCACTAAAGAAGGACAATAATAAGTTGCCTGTTCCAGAGTAGGCAAACCAGACAATCTCTACATCAACATTGACAAAGAAACAACAAGAAATACTGTTTACCCACAAGCATCAAGACCTTACATATATTAGAACCAACACTTCCTCATTACTTTGTCAGATCACCAGACTGGGACACGGCAACGTGTGGCAGGGGCCGGCTAGTGTTGTATATAATATAAAGTGCATTCCCATTTCTTTCTGTCCAAGTGTAACATCTTACATTAGACCAGCATTTCTCAACCTGGAGGTTGGGAACCTTGGGGGGTGACAAGGGGGTGCCAGAGGGGTCGCCAAAGATCATAAGAAAACACAGTATTTTCTGTTAGTCATGGGGTTTCTGTGTGAGAAGTTTGGCGGGACCAAGAGCAAGGCCTCCCCAGAAGATCTTAATCACCGCGGTGGTTCTTAGGGGTGGTTCATGGTAGGTCATGGCGTTCTATGTGAGAAGTTTGGCCCAACACTATGGTTGGAGGGGTTCAGAATGCTCTTTGATTATAGGTGAACTATAAATCTCAGCAACTACAACTCCCAAATGTCAAGTTCTATTTTCCCCAAACTTCAACAGTGTTCACATTTGGGCATATTGAGTGTCTGTGTCAAGTTTGGTCCAGATTCACAGTACTCCCTGGATGCAGGTGAACTACAACTCCAAAACTCGAAGTCAGTGCCCACCAAACCCTTCCAGTATTTTCTGTTGCTGGTGGGAGTTCTGTGTGCCAAGTTTGGTTCAATTCTATTGTTGGTGGAGTTCAGAATGCTCTTTGATTGTAGATGAACTATAAATCCCAGCAACTACAACTCTCAAATGACACAATCGACACCCCCCCCCCCCCCCCCCCCCCCCGTATTCAAATTTGGGTGTATGGGGTATTTGTTCCAAATTTGGTCCAGTGAATGAAAATACATCCTGTATATCAGATATTTACATGACGATGCATAACAGTAGCAACATTACAGTTATGAAGTAGCAACGAAAATAATTTTATGGTTGGGGGTCACCACAACATGAGGAACTGTATCAAGGGGTCGTGGCATTAGAAAGGTTGAGAAACACTGATATATATTGCAACACACCCACAACTTAGAAGAAATACAGTATATGTCTCCACATGATGCTTTCCTTGTCCCAGAATAGAAGGAGGAGAGGAGAAAAAAGTAGGATGCTTTAAAACGGTGTTTCTCAAACTGAAAGTTGGGACCCCTGGGGGGATAACGAGGGGGTGTCAGAGGGGTCACCAAAGACCATCAGAAAACACAGTATTTTCCATTGGTCATGGGGTTCTGTATGGGACGTTTGGCCCAATCCTATCGTTGGTGGGGTTCAGAATGCTCTTTGATTATAAATCTTAGCAACTACAACTCCAAAATGTCAAGGTCTATTTCCCCCAAACTTCACCAGTGTTCACATTTGGGCATATTGAGTATCCATGTCAAATTTGGTCCCGATCCATCATTGTTTGAGTCCACAGTGCTCTCTGGATGGAGGTGAACTACAACTCCCACCCTTCCAGTATTTTCTGTTGGTCATGAGAGTTGTGTGTGCTCAGTTTGATTCAATTCCTTTGTTGGTGGAGTTCAGAATGCTCTTTGATTGTAGGTGAACTATAAATCCCAGCAACTACAACTCCCAAATGACAAAATCAACCCCGCCCCCAACTCCACCAGTATTCAGATTGGGCATATGGGGTATTTGTGCTAGATTTGGTCAAGTGAATGAAAATACATCTTGCATATCAGATATTTACATGACGATTCACAAAAGTAGCATTTTCCATTGGTCATGGGGTTCTGTGTGGGACGTTTGGCCCAATTCTATCGTTGGTGGGGTTCAGAATGCTCTTTGATTGTAGGTGAACTTTTAATCCCAGCAACTACAACTTCCAAGCGACAAAATCAATCCCCCCTCCAGCCCCACCAGTATTCAAATTTGGGCATATTGGGTATTTATTTATTTATTTCTCGCACTTCTACCCCGCCCTTCTCAACCCCCAAGGGGAGACTCAGGGCGGCTTACAAAAGGCACAATTCGATGCCAACACAACAATACGATAAAAATAAACATATATAAACAGTAATTAAAACAATTAAAACAATCAATTATACATCATAATCAATAAAACCAATCTAGTGCTCAATGTTTGCCAGCTCAGAGTTCGTATTCTAGTCGTCGCTTGTCCTTTGTCTATCTGCCAGATTACCCAAAGGCCTGGTCCCATATCCATGTTTTTAATTTCCTTCTAAAAGAGAGGAGGGATGTCGGTGACCTAATTTCCCCGGGGAGTGAATTCCACAGGTGAGGGGCCACCACCGAGAAGGCCCTGCTCCTCGTCTCCACCAGCCTCACTTGTGATAGAGGTGGGGCTGAGAGCAGGGCCTCCCCAGAAGAACTTAAGCTCCGAGGCTGGACGTAGAAAGGACGTTGTACCAAATTTGGTCCAGTGAGTGAAAATACATCCTGCATGTCAGATATTTACATTACGAATTCGTAACAGTAGCAAAATGACAGTAATGAAGTAGCAACAAAAATAATGTGATGGTTGGGGTTCACCACAACATGAGGAACGTTGATAAACTGTACTAGGAAGATTGAGAAACACTGCATTTAGTCCTTGTTGAATCTGCTCAGGCCATTTTGAATTCTGACGGGAAGAGAGATTCAGGGAAGTCCGGCTATGACAAGTGAGGGAGCATCCGCACTGGGGTTTTAATGCGGTTTGACACCACTTGAGCTGCCTCCTACAAAGGGAGAAGAGGTGGAGGCCCTGACAGGTGAAGTGGGGCCAGGATCGCACCGCCAGGCCTCTCCCCCAAGTGACAGCCGGCCTCTAAAGCGGGACAGTCGCGCGACAAGTGCGCGTGTGGCGTGGGGAGGCCGCTCACCTGGCAGAAGCGGTAGCAGTAGTGCTGGCTGCCGGCGGAGGGTGGCGACCCGGCGGGGAGGCGTGGCCCGGCCAAGGCCTCGAGCTCCTCGCCCAGCCGCTCCGACTCCTGGTCGCTCTCGTCTTCCGCCATGCTGCTCCGGCCGCCCTGCGCGTCCCCACCGAGCTCCAGCGCCCGGATGGACATCCCTGCTTCCGTTTCCGGCGCCGCTCCCCTTACCTCTCCTCCTTGCCTTCCGATTGGCCCGCCTCCTTGCCGCTCAAGCTACAGCCCCGCCTCTCCGGCACTCGATTGGATAGAGCTTCTGCCTGTTCCTACAATCGATTGGGCAGCAGCCGGGTCGATCACCAAAAGCCCCGCCTCTGCCTCTCCGGCACTCGATTGGATAGAGCTTCTGCCTGTTCCCACAATCGATTGGGCAGCAGCCAGGTCGATCAGTGAAAGCCCCGCCTCTGCCCACATTTCCAATCCTTCAAAGTAAACATCTCCTCCTCCTCCTTCCACGCGATTGGTGGAGACGGGCGTCGATCTCTTCCCTGTCAGCGACACAGAACGGAGTTCTCTTTCCCCTCGTCTCCTATTGGATGTCCCGCTTGGTACGGCGTTTGTGATTGGCTCTGGCGTCGCCCCGCCTACTTCGCCTCGAAGAAACAGCCCCCTTTCCCTTCAGACCGCGCCAGTCCGCCTGTCTGGCAAGGTGGCTCCGCGGAGGCTGTTGTCTGTCGGGGGGCTTGAGGAGGGGAAGCGCGTCGGGCCAAGCTAGGCCGCAGCGGAGCCTCGGCCGGGATCAAGCGCGGCGCTGGCTGGAGGACGAGTGAGGGTGAGGCCTTGGAAGGGGGGGGGCGAAAGAACGGGTCGCCATGGCAACAGGGAGGGGGACGGAAAGTGGGAAGGGACATAAGGCTGTGGTTCTAACAAGCAACGCTAGATCAGATTCTGTTGAATATTTATATGGTGTGGGTTCTCAATCGTAGTATTTTTGGTCATGTGATCCGATTTGAGTCTCCTTTAAGAGAGGAAAGTGATTTATAAATATTATATTGCATATTATATTATGTTATAATATTATTATATGATCTAATATATGTATTATATTAAGTTATAGTAATATTATATTTAATATAGATCATATTATGGTATTGTTATAATTCTGTATTGTGTTATATTATATTCTATATTATATACAGTCATATTTAATATATATATAATATTATATAAAGTTATAATATTCTATTTAATATAGATCATACTATGGTATTGTTATAATTCTGTATTGTGTTATATTATATTCTATGTTATATATAGTAATATTTAATATATATATAATATTATATAAACTTATAATATTGTATTTAATATAGATCGTATTATGATATTGTTACAATTCTGTATTATGTTATATTATATTCTATATTATATATAGTCATATTTTATATATATATAATATTATATAAAGTTATTATGGTATTGTTATAATTCCGTATTGTGTTATATTATTATTGTATTGTTATAATTCCATATTATATATAATATATAATATAATATAATATAATATAATATAATATAATATAATATAATATAATATAATATAATATAATATGGAGCCCCCGGTGGCGCAGTGGGTTAAAGCACTGAGCTGCTGAGCTTGTTGATCGAAAGGTCGCAGGTTCGATTCCGGGGAGCGGCGTGAGCGTCCGCTGTCAGCCCTAGCTTCTGCCAACCTAGCAGTTCGAAAACATGCAAATGTGAGTAGATCAATAGGTACCGCTCCTGCGGGAAGGTAACGGCGCTCCATGCAGTCATGCCGGCCACATGACCTTGGAGGTGTCTACGGACAACACGCTGGCTCTTTGCTTAGAAATGGAGATGAGCAACATCCCCAGAGTCAGACATGACTGGACTTAATGTCAGGGGACTATATATATATATATATATATATATATATATAAAGTTATAATATTCTATTTAATATAGATCATATTATTGTCTTGTTATAATTCCATATTGTGTTATATTATATTCTATATTATATATAGTAATATTATATATATATATATATATATATATATATATATAATATTAATATAAAGTTATAATATTCTATTTAATATGATAATATTATTATATGATCTAATATATGTATTATATTAAGTTATAGTAATATTATATTTAATATAGATCATATTATGGTATTGTTATAATTCTGTATTGTGTTATATTATATTCTATATTATATACAGTCATATTTAATATATATATAATATTATATAAAGTTATAATATTCTATTTAATATAGATCATACTATGGTATTGTTATAATTCTGTATTGTGTTATATTATATTCTATGTTATATATAGTAATATTTAATATATATATAATATTATATAAACTTATAATATTGTATTTAATATAGATCGTAAATATAGATTATATTATGGAATTGTTATAATTCCATATTGTGTTATATTATATTCTATATTATATATAGTAATATTTAATATATATATAATATTATATAAAATAATAATATTCTATTTAATATAGATCATACGGTATTGTTATAATTCTGTATTGTGTTATATTACATTCTAATTTCCAACAAATCTCAGAACCTCTGAGGATGCCTGCCATAGATGTTGGAGAAACGTCAGGAGAGAATGCTTCTGGAACATGGCCATACAGCCTGGAAAACTCAGAGCAACCCACTGTTGGAGAAACATTGTTACAGATTGAACATCTCTTATCCCAAATTCCAAAATATTCCAGATTCTGAAATTGTCCGCACCAGTGGTTGAGAAAGTGACACCTTTGCTTTCTGATAGTTCAGTGTAATGTATACAAACTGGGTTTTGTGCACAAAATTCTGTAAAATTTACTCTATATGTGCAGTTTAAAACTTCTGGTCCCAAATATTTTAGATAGTCAACCTTTAGTAGTAATTTAAACGTGAAAGCATACATAGTTTTTTAATATCACATGGCCAAAACATGAATTGGAAATGGGCAAAAAGCAGGAAGGTAATAAATTGAGTGGGTTGCTATGAGTTTTCTGGGCTATATGGCCATGTTCCAGAAGCCTTCTCTCCTGACATTTCAACCGCATCTATGCAGGCATCCTCAGAGGTTGAGGGGTCTGTTGGAAACTAGGAAAATTGGGTTTATATATCCGTGGAAACTAGGCAAGTGGGTGTGGAATGTCCAGGGTGGGAAAAATAACTTGTCTGTTTGAGGCAAGTGGGAATATCGCATTGGCCACCTTGATTAGCATTGAATGAGTGTTTATGCCATCACCTTCTCAAAATTGGCTATTTCTTTTCAACATTTACCCTCTCCAACTTAGAAATCTCCTTGGCAGAGAAACACAAATTTGATTCAATGCACAATATTATTTTTTAAATTGTATAAAATTTCCCTCAGTCTTTGCATATAAGATTTAGATGAAACCAATTAATTTCATGTTTAGACTTGGCTCCCATCTCCAGGATAGCTCGTTGTGTACATGCATGCAAAGATGGGCATTTCAAAACCTGAAATCCATAACAATTCTGGTCCTAAGCATTTTAGACAAGGGATACTCAACTTGCATTTTTTAACAGTGTGTTTGCACAACACCAAGTTTGTGTACATTGAAGCATTAGAAAGCAAAGGTGTTGCTCCCCCAGCTTCCTTTTTTGGATTTTGAAGTATTTCATATTCCTATGTAAAGGATGCTTGACCTTTTTGTTTTAGACATGAAAGTGTACAAACTGTTAATGTATAGTGATAGGAAAGTGAATAAAAAATGATGGAGTAAAGGCTGAAAGACAAAAAACGGAAAGAGAGAGCAATCTGTCTTTACTGTCGTTACTATCTCTTTCAAATAATAATAATAATAATAATAATAAACCTTTATTTGTACCCCACTACCATCTCCCGAAGGACTTGGTGCGGCTTACAAGAGGCCGAGCCCAAATAGAACAATTAAAACAGCAGCAACAACAACAACACAATAACTCAAAAAACAAAGCAATAACATTAAACAACACCCAATGACGCAATTAAAGACAATGGCCAGACCAAGTGTAATAATTAAAATTGATAGTGTGTTTTGTTCCCATCTGGCATTTACCTAATTTGACTTAGAAATTCCCATCTTTTCCAGAGTGTGCTTTTATCATCAGGTATTAACGGTTCAACTTGCTGTGCATTCAGGAATGAACATTATAACGACTATGCTTTGAATAATATGCTTTAATACCCATCCAGAACAGAGTAAACATTGTTACATCCACCAAATTAAGACATATAAGGCAAGCCACATAAATTACACAACAATCATCATATTCTGGGACCCATTCCATGCACATTGCCCCCAAAAGAGCCCAGAACATGCATTGCCCATACACCCACCCTCACCAAATTCCCCAGTCATGCAGGACCCCAAGGAAATAGGAGAAAACTCAGAAACCCTGCAGGAACCACATCTAGTAGCCATTCTGGGTGTAACATCTGTATTCCAGAAATGAGCCTTGAATGTCCACTTCCCAAACACCCAATCTCTCCAAATTCTTTTGCAGAATGCAGATGTTGTGCCTTTAATGGAAGGTGATTCCTGTGGGATTCCTGAGCTTTTCCCCGTCTCACCCATGGAGTCCTGGATGGAGTGTAACAGGTAACAGAAGGCTGTTTCTTCGGCTTTTTGTGTTTTCTTTTTCCTTGAGCTATGCCTGGGGAATTCGATAAAAATATTGAAGATGGGCTATGGGCTTTCGGGGCTTTTCTGTGGGACACAGACGTGGTGCTCAGAATGTTTTTCGAGGTAGTTCCTATAAAATTTCATTGTCTCCAGAATGCAGAAATGTGGTAGGTGAATGTTGTTTGGGTAGCTTATGCAGTATTGTGGTGGTTTCATGTTTCAGACATTTGGCGAGGTTGCTCAAGCACAAGGGAAGTAATAGCCAAGAAAGTTTTCTTTCTAGGGACATGAAACATATCTCTTATGTATGATTGCCTTGCAGTCCCTGTCTGTGAACATGAGGGGGAAACCTTGTTCCTTTTTCTAGGCACTGTCAAGCCATTATATGCTAAATAAAATGGTCAGTTGAAACAGTCACACCTAGCTCCAGCAGACAAGAGTCCTTTGTCCCACTCTGGTCATTCCACAGATATATAAACCCTTTTTCCTAGTTCCAACAGACCTCACTACCTCTGAGGATGCTTGCCATAGATGCAGGCAAAACGTCAGGAGAGAATGCCTCTAGACCATTGCCATACAGCCCAAAAAAACCTACAACAACCCACTTGTTCCTTTTGCTGCCTGCATGAAAAGGCTTTGAGAAATGCCATTGGAGTACCTACATACATCTTGGAAAGACCATTTTTGTGACAAACCAAAGGCCAGACTTGGCATTCAAATTCTGAAAAATTTAGATTTTTTTTTTCTGAATAAGATTTGCAAATCGATATTTGGTAAGTGTTGCTAGCAATAGGTCGATAACAAAATTTGTGTTGCTGGTAAAGCCAGACTCAGAAAAAGTCATCTTTCAGTATTCATAATTAATTTTTATTAACCACAAAAGAAATGCTATATACATAAAAAGAGGTGGAACAATATAGTGAAAGAAAAGTAGGAAATAAAGATGTATAAGTCTTATAGATCTTTCGGTATTCAAAGAGGGAAGTTTTCCCTAACACCGATATAAGCCGACTTTTTCAGGCTGAAAAAGCCCCCCTCGACTTATCCTAGTGTCAAAGTTATTTATTATTTTACTCTGATATTATTGTTGTTGTTTATACATTTATTATTTTTCTCTTTTTTTATTATTATTATTACATTTACTATTTTACTCTATTATTATTATTACATTTATAATTTCAGTCTACTATTATTGGAAGGATATGTAGGCACATTTACATTGAAGAAGGTTAGAGTAATGGTTTAATCAAAGTTGGTCAGTCTTATCTTAAATTACAGTTTTATGTAAAATTTCAAAAACATTCAACCTACTGATCCTGGAAACCTCTGTATAGTCTTTCTATTATGTTACACGTCATTATAATTTAGGAATGCTGTGCTAATCTTCGTTCATCTGGAGAGGCCCTGCTCACGATCCCACCTGCATCGCAAGTGCGATTGGTGGGGACGAGGGATAGGGCTTTCTCTGTGGTGGCCCCTCGACTCTGGAACTCTCTCCCCAAGGACATCAGGCAGGCCCCGTCGCTAGCAATCTTCAGGAGGAGCTTGAAAACGTGGTTGTTCCAGTGTGCCTTCCCAGAATAGGAAACTCCTAGCATTATGTCCCAATGCACTTTATCAGAGATCTAGGATATCTGCATGCCCATCCCCCTCCAAAACACTCCACCTGGTCATGCCCAGCACTTTTAATTTTAATTATTACATTTGGTCCTGCCATTGTTTTTAATTGTGTCATTGTGTGTTGTCAATGCATAGGCATCCTTGGGTTCTCCAGGTGTTTTGAACTTCAACTCCCACCATACCTAACAGCGTCAGCCCCATAGTTCCGTGTTTATTGCACTAGGTTCCCAAAGGTTTGTTCAAAAAGCCATGTTTTCAATTTTCTGTGGAAGGTCAGGAGGGAAGGGGCTGATCTAATATCCCTAGGGAGGGAGTTCCACAGCCAAGGGGCCACGACTGAAAAGGCCCTGTCTCTCATCCCCACGAGTTGTACTTGCGAAGAAGGCAGGACCGAGAGCAGGGCCTCCCCAGATGCTTAATCTTCAAGATGGTTCATAGGGAGAGATACATTCGGATAGTTACTTATTATTTATTTATTTACAGCTTTTATATTCCGCCCTTCTCACCCCGCAGGGGACTCAGGGCAGATTACAGTGTACACATATATGGCAAACATTCAATGCCAATTTTTGACATACAGACATTAACTTTTTTCTGGCCGCCAGGGGAGCTGTCGCTTTCATCGTCCATCTGCGACACTGATGAAGCACTTCCGCATTCCCCGCATGCTTCCCCGCTGGAATGCTTTGCTGGAGTCTTCTTTATGGCCTCATAAATCACTTAATTTAGCCTCCCCACACTTTAAGGTGGTACCTAATTTTCCTACTTGACAGATGCAACTGTCTTTCGGGTTGCAAAGGTCGACAACAGGCTACACACAATTGGTTGGAAACCCACTCCAACCCAGGCTGGCTTCGAACTCATGACCTTTTGGTCAGAGTGATCTTAATGCAGCTGACACTCAGCCAGCTGCGCCACAATCCCAGTGCTGGGCCGGAACCATTTAGGGCTTTAGAGGCTAAAGCCAGCACTTTGAATTCTGCCCGGTAGCAAACTGGCAGCCAGTGGAGCTGATGCAAAAGAGGAGTTGTGTGCTTCCTTTTAGCAACCTGGTTGCCGCACGCTGGACCATTTATAGTGGTGTTTAAGGTGATAAATGTTGGATTGTGTTTTAACTTTTTGTTAATGGGTGTTAGCTAGCCTTTGGAAGCCACATTGGGTCCCAAACTGGACATTTTTTGAAAAAAATCATGGTGCAGAAAAGTAGAGCAACTCAATATTTTGACATTCAGGATTTTATAAAACAGAAGTTTTGTGATTATAGCTCCCAGAGTTAGCAGAGCCTTGATAAAGTCTCCTGTTATAGTTTTAGACTGCACAAGGTGGATATAAATGTAGAAAACAAATGGATAAAAGTAGAGAATGAAATAAATGTAGGATGGGGAAAATACGAGTTATACACCAGAGATATTAACAAAATAAAGGAAAATCTAACAGGACTGAGAAAGGTAGCATATGACTGTTGGCAAAAACTATGGGCATATAAAATATCAGGAAAGACCCCGATTAAGAGCATGGGACTCCCCGAAAGCTTAGTAAATAACTTAGAAGAAAAGGGATTAAGGAGGGTAAAAGATATGTGGGAACAAGTTGGAGAGATAATTAATTGGCCAGAGTTTTTGGGAAAGGGGGGGGGGGGAGAAAATCGGTTAAAATTAAGAGGGATTTGGGAAAAAAGTAAAAAAAGAAGGTGCACAGCCCACTGAAGAACTAAAGGTAGATAAATTGCTAAATGCAACAGAAAAGACAAGTAAAGGAACAGTGGCAAAAATATATAATTTAATGGTAGAAGATCGAGAGTTTATGATTAGAGCAATAAGTAACAAATGGAATGGAGTTAAATAATTACAGACAAAAGAAATAGAGGAAATAATTAGAAACATGAATAAAATAAAAATAGAAAAATATAATGAATTAGAAAAAAAGATGATATTAAGATGGTATAGAACTCCTGAACAATTGGCTTATATGGTAAAAGGAAAAAAATCGGAAGTGTTGGCATTGTAATAAAGCAAAAGGTACTTATTCACACATGTGGTGGGAGTGTTGTGAAATAAAAAAATTCTGGCAAATGATACAAGGAAAAATTCAGGAGATATTCCAGATAAAAATTCAAATTAATAATGATTTGCTACTTTGGGGAGTGTTGGATCATCCGAGTATAATAACTAATTGCCAGGAGTTATTTAAAGTAACAATAAGAGCAGCCCATGCGGTGATTGCTAGAGGATGGAAAGACAAATCAAAATGGACGTTAACTAATTGGAATGATTATATGTATGACCAAGTGCTGTTAGATATTACGGGAATTATGACTAAGCAAACACCAAGAATAGACAAAGAAAAGATCATTACAAATAGATGGAAGGTCTACTTCAACTGGGTGAAAAATGGAGGAGCCAACGATCACATCAAAGAAAAAACACAAAGACTCTACCAGTGGCTGGATCTGCAAGATTAGTAGAAATATACTGTGGTTGAAGAGGGAGGGAGGGAGAGGGAAGGAAGGTGGAGATGATGTAATATATATATACCAGTGTAAATTAGCATAATGCCTTCAATATTTGTTGAATTACTCAGTATTTATCATCATCACCATCATTTAATAACTTATTAATCGCCCTCCATCCGAGAATGCTCCAGGCGATTTACAGCTAAATTACAAAAGATAACATACATACATACAAAAATTAAAAATCAACAGAGATCGAATGCTCTAGTAAAAAGCCAGGTCTTAAGTGCGAGAGTAAAAGGCCCTAAGTCACGCATGGCTCTCATGTAGGGTGGCAAGAAATTCCACAAGGCAGGGGCAGAAATAGAAAAAGCCCACCTGCGCCTGGCCCTTCCGTATTTATATGTGTAACACTTGGAATTTGGCTTATTGATCTGTGTGTATAGCATAATACAATATCTTTTTTAAAAAGTTGGATATAAATGTAATACATCTCTCTCAACTTTCCTCCCTCTACAAATCAGCTTACTGAAGACAACCATGGATCGGTTTGACGTGAAGCCGCCTCCTTCTCGGAGCCGCTCCAAGACTGCTTTGTACGTGACGCCTCAGGACCGCGTCACGGAGTTTGGCAGCGAACTGTACGAAGACGGGGGAAAGCTGTATTGCACTTTCTGCAACGTGGTCTTGAACCACGTCCGCAAGTCTGCCATCAACGACCACCTCAAATCCAAGACTCACACCAAGCGCAAGGGGGAGTTTGAAGAGCAAACTGTGCGGAAGAAGCCAAGGACCCTGACGGCCTCTCTGCAGTGCAACAGCGCGCCCCAAATAGAGAAACCCAACGTCGTCCACGACTTTGTAAAAATGTTTCTGGAGGCCAGCATTCCTCTTGAGAAGGCCGACCACCCTGCTGTGCGAGCATTCCTCTCCCGCCACGTGAAGAACGGGAACTCCGTCCCCAAGGCAGAGCAGCTCAGGAAGGCCTACCTGCCTGATGGGTTTACAAATCAGCTGATCAAATCTGAAGACCACTGAGGAGCAGCCCTGGGCTCTAGGTGTGGAGTATTGCAGTTGCATAACCGTGGTGTGGTTTATTTTTATATTCATGCGCTTGCAGTGTTGCATCATGGTTTCTGTATTGTAAAAAAAGACTACCTGTTGCAGAATGCAATGGTGTTTCAGAAACAGTTGGTGTTACAGGAACGTTGCTTCAAAACTGTGGTTAGAAGGATGGCAAAATGATGCCATATTGCTCAGTTTGTGCAGAAGTGTACTAAATGAACAGTGTACAACAATTCTCCGAACCCTTCTACAACTGGAACGTACTCACACCAAACAATATAATGTATACACATACTTTCCACATTATTCCCATATTCTTGGTGTAAATTTACGATTCTGTGACTTGGTGGTGTTCAGTTTGACTTAAGAGTGGATATAAGTCAACGTTTATAAAAGGTTAGACCCTTGAAGTACGCCTCACAGAGTCAGCAGATCCTCGAAACCTCAATATATTTTCTCTATTATGTTACATGTCTTTATAATTTAGGAATGCTGTGCTAATCTTGTAGGCTCAATTTCCTTTTTGGATTTTTTTGGAAGGTGAGAATATAAATGAAACTGAATGCATTTCTAGTTTGGATAATGGGTTTCTTTTTATGAATAGTAAACATCTAGTTCCTTTAATTGTATGCGTCTCAACTTCTGTTTTATTCATTTTCATCCTGGTGGTGACTCGTTTCTGTTACTGACATCGAGATGCTCATGCTTTAGCACAGGTGACGGCAAACGTTGGCCCTCCAGGTGTTTTGGACTACAACTCCCACCATGCCTAACAGCCTCAGCCCCTTAAGCTGCAAAGCCTTCAAAGAAGGAGCCTCCACCACACTCCGGGGCAGAGACTTCCACTGCTGAACAGCTCTCACAGTTAGGAAGCTCTTCCTAATGTTCAGGTGGAATCTCCTTTCCTGTAGTTTGAAGCCATTGTTCCATTGCGTCCTAGTCTCCAGGGCAGCAGAAAACAAGCTTGCTCCCCTCCTCCCCATGACTCCCCCTCACATATCGATCGTGTCTCCTCTCATGTCTCCTCTCGACCTTCTCTTATCATGTCTCAACCTTTTCTTCAGGCTAAACATGCTCAGCTCTTTAAGCTGCTCCTCATAGGGCTTGTTCTCCAGACCCTTGATCATTTTAGTCACCCTCCTCTGGACTTCCATCACGCTCCGGGGCAGAGAGTTCCACTGCTGAACAGCTCTCACAGTTAGGAAGTTCTTCCTCATGTTCAGGTGGAATCCTCTGTCCTGTAGTTTGAAGCCATTGCTCTGCATCCTAGTCGTATGCTTCTGTGAAGGTGTGTAGAGTGGCTTGTAGGTCGTCTTCTGAATGCGCACAGATGATGTTGCCATCAGCATATTGGAGCTCTACAACATGTTGTAACCTTGGTTTTGGTTTTCTGTCTGCTGCGGTTTAATAGCTTGCCATCGTTGAGTACGAATGCGAGCAAAGGGCATCACATGAGAAATTCAGAACATAAGTCTACTTTTAGATATTGACATGACATTCAAATCATATAGACTAAAGGTGAAGGAATAAGAGAAGCAGTTATTAATACTTGTATTGTCGAAGGCTTTCATGGCTGGAATCACTGAGTTGTAGGTTTTTTTGGGCTATATGGCCATGTTCTAGAGGCATTCTCTCCTGACATTTCGCCTGTATCTATGGCAAGAGGATGCTTGCCATAGATGCAGGCGAAACGTCAGGAGAGAATGCCTCTAGAACATGGCCATATAGCCCGAAAAAACCTATTAATACTTGGTTGAATCCAGATTATGTCCGTCATGGTTGGTCTATGCAGAAATCAGAGGAACTGAATTATGGCAGACTTTTTTCATCGATGCCATTAAGCCAGATCAGTGAAAGGATCCTCAAGTCTTTACGAAATTGCTGAACTCCAGATTTCCACCTTTATTATTAAGGTGGATTGGAGCTGGCCAATTCAACCAACCAACTCATTTGAAAGCAAATTAACATTTGCTCATTTGGGAATGCGCTTAGGGTATTCCAAGTTTTCCAACCTCCAAAGTGTCTTTTTTAAAAAAAATCCTTGCAAAATTAGATAAGAAAGCATTCAAACCAATTTTGTGTCTCCTTTATACTCCTTTTTTAACTGAGTGGAATATAACATGATAATGATTTGCCATTTATTTATAGACGCGCATTGTATGAGTAATCGTGCTCTCTCTCTTTTTACCTTTCATCTTTGAATTTGCTGCAAAGGTTCTTTGGTTTTTCTTTTCTTATTTGGTTTAATGCATGTAGAGTTTTCATTGTCTTTCAGTTTTCTAAAAAATATGTTAACTTTGCAAAATAAAACAATTTAAAACAAGGAATACTTGGAAGAGAAGTGTCATGTTGCCATTGTGAAAGGTACATAGCAGATTATATAATGCAAGCATGGGCAAACTTGGGCCCTCCAGTTGTTTTGGACTCCAACTCCCACAATTCCTAACAGCCTCAGGCCCTTTCCTTTTTCCCCTCAGCCGCTTAAGCTGCCTTTGTTCCTTTTCTTTCCCTCTGTTCCAACCAACAAATATACTGGGTTGCTTGGAGTTTTCCAGGCTGTATGGCCATGTTCCAGAAGCATTCTCTCCTGGCGTTTCGCCCACAACTGTGGCAGGCATCCTCAGAGGTTGCGAGATCTGTTGGAAATTAGGCAAGTGAAGTTTATATATCTGTGGAATAATGTCCAGGGTGGGAACAAAGAACTCTTGTTTGCTTGAGGCAGGTGTGAATGTTGCAATTGGCCAGCTTGATTAAACAATTGCAAGTAGGTTTATATATCTGTACATAACCTTGGAGGTGTCTACAGACAACGCCGGCTCTTCGGCTTAGAAATGGAGATGAGCACCACACAAAAAATAAAGAGCAAGGGTTCCCTGAAATGCAAAAGGCAAAAGGTCCCTAAGACTAAACATTCAACGTATGGAAACAACGTATTAAACGAATGGAATCTAGTATAAGTTATACAGCATACAGTTTTCTAAACCAAAAATCATTTATCTTATATGGTATAAACAACGAATTCTACAGCAAGATATACATCTGTTTTAAGGTTATTTTGAAAATAAATTTGTCAATAACAATACACATAGGGAAGCTGATGAGGAAACACAACATACAAACAATCTACAAACCCACCAAGAAAATCCAACAAATGCTACGTTCAGCAAAGGACAAGAGGGATCCTCTCACTTCTGCAGGAGTCTACCGTATACCATGCAGCTGTGGACAAGTCTACATAGGGACCACCAAACACAGCAGCATTGCCCAGACACGAATCAAGGAACATGAAAGGCACTGCAGACTACTCCAACCAGAGAAGTCAGCCATAGCAGAGCACCTGATGAACCAACCTGGACTCAGTATTATTTGAGAACACAAAAATGCTGGACCACTCTCACAACCACCATGTCAGGCTACACAGAGAAGCCATTGAAATCCACAAACATGTGGACAATTTCAACAGAAAGGAAGAAACCATGAAAATGAACAAAATCTGGCTACCAGTATTAAAAAATTCTAAAATTGCAACAGCAAAAACAGCAGAGAAAAAAACAGGCAGGGACATCTAATCACCTTTCAAGAAGAGTTTGCTCCAGGCACAGTCAGCCCATTGTATGCTAATCAAGGTGGTCAGCTGAAAGATTCACACCTAGCCCAACTTACAAAAGCCCTTTGTCTCACCCTGGTCATTCCACAGATATATAAACCCCTTTTTCCCAGTTCCAGCAGACCTCACCTCTGAGGATGCTTGCCATAGATGCAGGCGAAACGTCAGGAGAAAATGCCTCTAAAACATGGCCATATAGCCCGAAAAAACCCACAAGAACTGAGTGATTCCAGCCATGAAAGCCTTCGACAATACACAGTTTGTGAATCTTTTTACAAGTCTCTTAATCCAGAGCTTCTTGATTAAAGTAAAGTTTGTCCACAGCAACACACAGTTTATCAGTCCATTTTTTTTTTCAAAATCACAGTTTGTCAAGCACAGTTTATCAGTCCTTTTGCAAAATCCTTTTTCAAAATCACAGTTCGTCAACCACAACCGGTTTCAACTATGTGCAGTCTTCTTCAGGTAGTAGTGATAAGTTTTTTTTTAAGTGTATAATTCTTCAAGTAAGATAAACAATGATGAGGACCTAAAGGGAACACATTAAGTGGCTAAACATAGTAATGAATGCAATTATCAAAAGTAAAAAAACATATACAACTAGAATCAAAATACTCACATAACTTATCCTGCAAGGTGCTCTGCTTGTTGGGTATATTTCTGTGGCAAGCACAAGGGAAGCAGGTGGAGATTCCAGTATATAAAGAGAAAGTAATAGTGTATGAAGAGAATTTTAAAGGGGCCCCATATAGCTGTCAGTGTGGGTGTGTTCCAGTTTGCAATAGTAAGTTACTCAAAAGAGAAAAACTTGTTTTAAAGGGCCTGTGCCTGCTCACATGAAACACTGAAATGAAATAGAATCATTCAGACCCTTACAGTTTCAAGAGTGAAAATCCAAAAGCTTCATGTTGTAATAGTCTAATAGATAAATCTATATTTATGGAGGATGTAACTACCTCTAAAACTAGGACCCTAAGTGATTCTGGACTATGTTTCATGTCAAGTGTTTGTATAGGTTTGAATCGACAGCCTGATTTCTAATTTTGCTCTTGTGTTCGATGATACGGAGTTTAATTTGTCGGCTGGTCTGTCCAACATACATTAAGGAGCAGGGACAAAAGATGATGTAAATGATCAGGGAAAATCCTTACCTTTACATTATATATCTGTGGAATGTCCAAGGTGGGAGAAAGAACTCACACACATTCACACTTGCTTCCAACAGACAAGAGTTCTTTCTCCCACCCTAGACATTCCACAGATATACAAGCCCCACTTGCCTAGTTTCCAACAGACCTCACAACCTTTGAGGATGCCTGCCATAGATCTGGACGAAATTCTAGTAGAGAATGCTTCTGGAACATGGTTATGCAGCCTGGAAAACTCACAGCAACCCAGTGATTCCAACCATGAAAGCCTTCAACAACACAACAAATATACATCCATACATACTTTGACTTTTGTATAGAGCAGTGGTTTGTATAGAGCAGTGGTTCTTGCAGACCACCAGTGGTCTTCAAGAACAAAAATATGGTCTGTGGCCTCACCATTACTACACCATTGCCTCGAAACTATGCGGCAACAAGAGCTACTGCTCTTGCGAAACCCTCTTATAGTGCTGAGGCAACAGGGATGTTGGGAGCGGAGAGGCTGGCTACCCACATAAGACGACTACTACCACATCAGTTCTCAATCACTTCACTTTATTTCTTAATTAGTCTCTCTCCACCAAGGTGCTCCGAGCAACTTACAGTCTAAAATAGCATTTACACAATATAAAAACATTCAGCAGTGACTATTTGGTAAATTAGATCTGATTACTTCAATGCACAACCAAACAGCCAAGTCTTGAGTGCCTTTACAAAAGGTCACAACTCCGACATTGCTCTAATGTATGGAGGCAATGAGTTCCACAGAATTGGAGCATAGGTCGAAAAAGCTTTATGCCTTGTAGCTTCCAGGTGTACCTCCCTAGGGCCCAGTATGTAGAGGAGATTTTCCTGGGTGGATCGAGGTGAC